CTCACAAGAATTCTGACAGCCTGAGATATTGGTTCACCAGCTATCCAGGCCATAAATGCGTCTCCACGGCCAGAAGCTCAGAACCCACGATCAAGAGCGGCGGCCGAGATTCACCGGGATTTCTGGGGTCACACCACCGTGCTTCACGATCCCAAATGTCGATTGGACTGCCCACTTGCTCCAATCAGGCTCCACCATGCAGATTTTTAGCCCCCACAAAATTATTTAAAGAAAAGTTAATAACCTAACCTTAAAGTAGTCTTTCCAAACTTCTTCAGGAGCAGTGAATTTCTTTGTGGTTGGATCCTACCCAAACCCAGAGCTGTGACGAAGAATCTGTGAATATTTTTGGTATTCTCTTTTAAAGTACTTCAACCGACTCTAGTATTGAGAATAGGTTTTGTGACACCTAAGTTTTTCATTAATCTTGGGGAGTATTTTGGTTTCTACAGTTGCCTTGCTTAGCATTCCATTAGCATCACGCCATCCACGGGTTGTAGCATCAACCATGAGTTGCAACAACATTCTACTCTCTTCCACACTCCAAGCATTATAATCTTGTTTGCTCTTCCCTTTTTCCATTTACTTGTGTATTTTCAGACTCCATTTGATTTCCCTCGTGTTATGAACCAGTCTTGGTCCCACACTTATGAAGGAAACCCTGCCCAACAACTCTCTAGTTGTTGTAATGTCTTCAAAACTCGGTTAAGGAAATGGAATTATGAGATCTTTGGGAATCTGTTTCAAAAACTTAAAGAAACCCAAGAACAATTAAATTTAATCCATAACTAACTAGCAAACTCTCCTACTTCCTCATTCCTCATCATTAAGAATAGTGAGTTTAACCTCAACTTAAGAACCCTTCTTGAGAATGAAGAATTATTCTATGCTCAGAAAGCTAGGGCTAACTGGCTCCAGCATGGGGATAAAAACACAAAATTCTTCCAAACTTTTGCTACCATCCGTAGGAAATGAAACCTTGTCAGTAAAATTAAAGATAATAGTGGTGTCTGGATTGATACGCCTCTTATGGGTAACATCTTTTTTAAAGCTTTTAGGAAACGCTTTACACAATCTGAACCCCTTGCTACCTCCAATATCCAAGATTTCATTAGCATTATCGATCCTTGTATCTCTAGTGAGGACAACATTTATCTCATGGCTGATGTGTCCGAAATGGAAGTGTTTAAAGCCGTTAAAAGTATTGGTCCTCTTAAAGCCCCTGGCCCTGATGATTTACATTCAATTTTTTTCCATCGATTCTAGGCGGAGACTAAGCATGTAACATCCCGACCCAAAATAAAAGGATTAGTGAATTAATTAATTTCAAGAATTATGAATTTTCAATTTTACCCTCGGAGTAGGGGTAATTTGGTCATTTTTATCTGGGAGGATTTCGGGGCAGTGGTTAGTACCTTTACGTAGGTTGTACTGAGACGAGTCCGTAGACATGCAGTAGGCTTGAATCAGAGTTGTAACGAGAGAGATACGAGATAAAAACCCTCAGTGGCATAATCGTAAATAAATTGAAGTTTGAATTTTATTAAAAAGTCAGAAAAGCCCTCATTTCTCTCTCTCTCTCTCTCTCTCTCTCTCTCTCTCTCTCTCTCCCCTGCGCGCAGACCCCCCCTCTCTTGCTGTTACTGTTCATCCGAACGGTTTTTGCTTCGCCACCACCTCCACCGACCACCAAATCGCATGATATTAGTACCAGAATGTCAAGCTCACTTCCCTCTTCCTATCCCGACTAATCTCCGCCGCTGGAACCACTGGAGATGGCCGGAAAACGCAAAAATTCGACCGGTTTCGACCCAGTTTTAATAGATTTTTCGCCGGCGGTTTCTCCCTCCTCCGGCCACCAAACCGGTCGATTAAGGTATGCTTTTCCACCTATTTTTCATGCGCTAGCTGATGGTTGGGTAGGAATTGAGAAATTTCTGCATTCTGGTAGTTAATTAAGCGATTGAAAAATCTGCCGGTTTCGACCTCCGTTTTCAGCCACTTCCGGCCACTTTTTGGAGTATGTCCAAGAACAAAAGTGGTTCCAAATTAGGGGTTTTACCTAGGGTAGGAAGCTTGGCCGGCGGTTTGGAGTTTTTCCGATTGTTGAAAATTTCTTTGGACACCAACGCGCTGCCGGCACGTGGGCCACGTGTTGGCCTGTCATTGTGTCCTAAAATGATCTCCTGGTTCTCACAAGCGCGTAGGAATTTGCGGATCTCAATTCGGATAACGTTTGAACCCCGAACGGATTTTACATATTGGGTAATTTTCGGGTTCGATATGTTAGAACCGTTGGATCGCTTCCAATTTAATATGTATTGATCTAGGTATTCCTAGGATCATGTAGGAATTTTCGGATCGGGAATCGGAGCCGCGGATGCTCCGATTGAAATAGTTAAAGTTTTCGTTTTTCGACAACCGTCCGATTAGGTAGTCTGCGCGCGTAGGACTGTTTTCAGACGTACAGGTCTTGATTCTTCATCCGTACGGGCTGGTTGAGTTTAGTCCCTCAGTTGGACGGCTCGTCCCTAGCCACATGGCCATTTGAGGGCGGATACTTGTGAGCTAGTCAACAATCCCTTGTTGGATTGTTTTCCCCTGGTACATGATGATGGTGAGAGGTGGGTGTTATTATATATATACTTATATACTCATTTATAGGCATACATGTTACACATGGGTATATGTGGTTTTGATTCGGGATTGAGATTCGTGAGATTGTACTTTGTGAGTACTCTGTATATGTATGAATGTTTAAGCCCTGGATTGGGAAGTATTGTTCAGCAACATACGCCTTGGATAGGGTATGGTTGCATGGAAAGAATTGATAAATGGAAGAAATTGATAATGTGTTCAATGTACATACGCCTTGGATAGGGTATGGTTACGGGGTTGAACTGTTATAAAGAAAGAGATTGGGAATGTGTTTATTTTGTTTCATCAGAATTGGAGTTGTGATAAATCTGAAATGTATCGTTGGTTCTGCTTTAAATAATTGTTTATTATCGGAGTTGTGACCGTTGATATGAGAACTACGTGTGGCTTGATCCCTTGTCCAAGGGTACGTAGGCAGCCTGGGGTCTCACCTAGGTGCAGCCGCAAATTATATTATGTTTAAAAGGTTTGATCGATTTTGAGTATGTGATTGGATGCTGATGTGGTTATTGGATTGGAATCCGGTTTGATGTTTTCGGTGGTATTTGTAAAGTTGTTTGAGATCATTAAATGTTTGGTGTATGTATTGTTCGACTTAGGAGCATTGTTGGTTTTGTTTCGAATTATCTGAAGGCCGGAGGCCTATTTTGTGATTGCATGTTGTTAACTTGTGCATGCTGCTAGTTGGTGTTTTAAAATGTGTTTTTGCAGGTTGAAATTTTGGGAAAAGTTAAATTTACAAGGGAGACTCTGCCGAATTTTCGCCAGAAAGTCTCGGTTCTTAGTGAGTGGGCCCGGCATCGGTGTGATGTCGAAAATTTTCCACAAGATTCGTCTTGGGTTCCAAGGAATTCGGGGCGGGTCCTGTCAAAGCACCTGCTCATTTGCCTGGTTAAGGATTTTTTTTTTTAACAATCTTCCTCTCAACCCCATCAACCACACTAAAATTGCTCTTATCCCAAAGACTGATAACCCGGAGGTTGTCGATCACTTTAGACCTATTAGTCTTTGTAATGTAGTGTATAAGATTATCACTAAAATTATCATTGCTCGACTAAGGCCTATCCTTGCTAAGTGTATCTCTCCCAATCAAGGTGTCTTTGCCCCGAGGAGATTTATTTTTGATAACATCTTAATTGCCCATGAATTATTTAGTGACTTTAAAAGGAAGAAAAGCTCTTGTGGTGTGATGGATCTCAAATTAGACCTTGAGAAAGCTTATGACCTTCTAGATTGGAACTATATAAGAGCTTGCTTACTCAGGTTCGGGTTCAATGCCAACTGGTGTGACAAAATTATGAACTGTATTTCCACAACCTCCTTCTCAATTCTCCTTAATGGCAAGCCAGAAGGCTTTTTGTCCCTTCCAGAGATTTAAGGCAAGGGGATCCCTTATCTCTTTATCTTTTCATTCTCTGTATGGAACCTTTTATCAGACATCTCAATAAGTTAGTCGAGTCCAGTAAGACCCAAGTCGGCTTACTGTCTTCCCCTTATGGTTATAGAATTTCTAATTTAGTCTTTGCAGATGACTGCTTAATCTCCAAAGCCACGCCAATGACGGCTAGAAAAGTTCTTTCTATCTTTGTGGCTTTCTCTAAAGCCTCAGGCCAATGTATAAACTTCCATAAATCCACAATTTATTTCTCCCCCAAAGTTCATTCAAGTGTCAAAAACAATATTAGTACTATTTTACAAATTCAACACCAAACCACAATTGGTAAATACTTAGGCATCCATAACATTATCTTTGGGAAGGACCCCAAAATGCGAAAGAGTTAGTTGACAGAATTCGTTCCAAGTTTGCTAGGTGGAAAGCTAACACCCTATCTAGAGCTAGAAAACTGACTCTCATTAAATCTAATGTTTCTGGTATGCCTAATCATGTCTTATCTTGTTTTAAGTGCTATGAACAAGTGTTGTAGATCTTTCTTCTGGGGCAAGGATGGTATTCCTCCTGTTACTTGGAAGGATGTTTATATGCCTAAAGATCTGGGTGGCTTAGGTTGTCACTCAAACATATTTAAGACATGAAATTTTTTTTACTCTGAAGAAAAAATCTAATCATTCTATCGCTTGGAAGTCTATCTTATATGCCAGACAGGTTTTGTGCAAAGGTCTGGGGTGGGTTGTGGGGAATGGTGGTTCTATTCTTTTCTGAACCTCCCATTGGGTTTTGCCTTTCCCCCTCTTGGACCTCATTCCTGAGAACCAAAGAGGCTCTTTAAGACTTTATCACAAACAACACTTGGGACAGGATTAAACTGGCTCAGGTGTTAGATGATGATTTGATTGATAAAATATTATCTATTCCTTTGCCTAGATCTAATCTACAAGATAAAATGATATGGGGTCCCAACCCCAATGGATCCTTCACTATCAAAAGTGCATACAATATCCAGATTCAGGATCGGCCGTTCTATCCTCATGCTGACATGCTGAAGAAGATGTGGAAACTAGATATTCCTCCGAAAGTGAAGATTTTTGCTTGGATGCTCATTTGGAATAGACTTCAAGTGAGAGCTAGATTGCACAAATTCATGCCTCAGATTAGTCATGAATTCCCCATTTGCCAAAACCAACTTGAGATAATCCATCACCTCTTTATGGAATGATGCTTTGCTAAGGATGTCTAGGCTTGTTCTTCTGATTTTCGGCCCCTTCCTGAGCAGAATGGTAACATGTACAGTTGGCTTTTATTGTTAAGTCAATCTCCTCCCAAATCTGATATGGATCTCCTCTCCAAAGCTCTCCTTATCTGTTGGCAAATTTGGGAGGCTAGGAATAATTTGTTGTTTCAAGACTCTAAGCCCCTCCCGGCTAGTTGCATCCATGCTGCTGCCACTGTGGGCTTGGACTATTAGCAGCTGAATTCGTCGCTAAAAAAGGATAAAGACATTTCCAGGATGATTAAATGGCATTTCCCTCCTATTGGCTAGATTAAAGTTAAATTTGATGGGTCTTTCATGAACTCTCAAGCTTCCACAGGTTTTGTCATCCGGGATTGTGATGGGCATGTCCTGTTAGCCGATTCCAATAACATTTGTGAGAAATCCATAAATGTGGCTGAAAGTGTTGCTCTTCGGGATGGTCTTGTTGCTGCTATTGAGAGATTATGGGATCAAATTGTGATTGAAGATGACTCTAAGCTTATCATTGATAGTATTCTTAAAAAAGCTAGTCCCCCTTGGAGTATCCAGCTGATTATTCAAGATATTTGGTCCCTTTCATCTTCTGTCAACTCTGTCCGTTTCCAACATGTTTTTAGGGAGGCTAACTTCACGGCGGATGCGGTTGCTAAGTTGGAGCATGGGTTATCAAATCAAGTTTGTTGGGAGTTTGGTCTTCCGTTATCTGTTTGGTCTTCCGTTATTTGTTTGTTCTCCCTTTTATTTTGACCTCTTTGGGCATTCTTGTTCAAGGGGCTTTGCCTTGTAATTTATTTTCTCATATAAAAAAAAAAGTCTAAGTATGAGAAATGGTTGCATGACACATGCCAAAGTAGGAGAGAAAGTGAAACCCTGATCCCCCCTTGGGTTTTGTTTTCCCTCCTCATGGGAAAGTTTGAGAAAATGAGGTAACATTAAATACAAATTTTTCATGACCATTTTGTCCTCATTAACAATTTAAAATTACAATATATCATTAAGTGCATTTTTTTTATTTGATTTAATATGGGTATAATTGGAAAATTATACAAACTTTGTTTTCCATTCCTACTCAAAACAAACATGGGAAAGGAAATAAAGTGATATCTCCGAGTTACTTTCCGGGCATTACCAAACATAGGAAATGAATCTTCGTTTCTCATCCCTTGGAAAATGACATGGGAAGTGATTTCCCCTAAAATTCATTCCATGAAAATTATACAAACTTTGTTTCTCATCCCTTGAAAAGTGGGCCATAATGTAATGAGAAACTATTATCGCTTTGCTTGAGAAACTTATTGCTGATAAACAAAATGTAATTGATAAAACAAACAAAGACTTCAAGGCCAAGTTTCTGATTATTTGTTCCCAAAAATTAAAAAATTACATATTGACTGTAAGGATGACAATTTTCCCCACGAGTAAGGGTCTCCGCGGCAATTCGACCCTAATCGATCGGGTATGAAGGATAAAAAATAGGTATGGGACACCAGTTAGAATATATATAAATTTATAACATTTATTTTATCATATAATTATATTATTAAAATGTATGATGGTAGTGTCACCTCTATAATGATGGTCATTTTTGAACATGCAATTTTGACATGTATTAATTTTTTAAAATAGTCTATAACTTTAGTTAATAAAAATGGAATTGATACATATGTTGTGTGTATAGTGCTTTTTTCTTATTTAACAAAGTAGGTTTTTTTTTTTTTTTTTG